AAAATCTCTGTAAATGTTCATCAAAATTAATAAAATTTAATAAAAAAAGGAAAGAAAAAGAAAAAATTAATTTGCCACACAGCACACTTCACAATTTTGCTAGGATACCACATGGTATCTTTCCATGGTTACCTTTCCATGCCATAATGTGGGCCTACAATGATTTTAGAGATCTATGATTTTTGCTGAACTCTGGTGGTCTAGGGGCAAGAAGCTGTGCTGCAATCCTGAAGGCACATGATTCAAATTCACCAGCTGCTCCGTGAGAGAAGGATGGACAATCACCTTCCATGAGATTAACTGCCTCTGAAAACCTGCCAGAGGGTCAGCTGTAAGTCAGTTCTAACTCGACGGTAAACAACACCAGCATCATTTTTGCCAGGGAGCACTGAGCTGCCAACCCAAAGGCCCAAGGTTTGAATCCACCAGCTGCATTGTGTGAAAAAGGTGGGTAATCTCCTGCATGATTAACTGCCTTTGAAAAGAGTCAGCTATCAGTAATTTCCTAACTAGTGGTAATTAACAATGGTATAATTTTTGCCAAATTTCTAGTGTTTATCAGGGATCAGCAACAACTATGTGCTGAGAAACAACGATCTTTTCTGGAGAGTCGTATGCAGCTGTAGCTTTCAGCACAATCCTTCACTTTTCACAGGGGCACTTCCTACTCCACAGCACCCTGAGATAGAAGTCTATCTTAGAGGAGTCTCTAAAAATCCTAACTGGCTTACAGAGGAGTTAGGGGAAAGGGCTGTGCTGTTGAGTACACAGCCATGAATGGTGTCTAGGGGAAAAGGAAGGGAGGCTTTGACACAGCAAAGTAAGAATGCATTTGCTGCTATTCCAATAATGATACCTAACTGACAATTCTTGAAAGCCTCAGAGCAATTTATATACACATAATCTGCTTTAACAACAGAAAAAGATCTCCATTAATGTAAGTCAATGAAGGCTGTCCAACCAAAGGTTACCTTAGGAAACTGCTTCCTCTAAATAACACTTTCCATCATAAGCTTTTATTTTAGACACAGTGATGGTCTGCCACTGTCATTACACACTCTCAATTAGAGGGACACTGCAGTTTAATAGCACCCTAGGAAGTGTCTATGAATATCCCATTTCAGCAGATATAATTACAGGACTATGAGCTCCTACAGGAAAGAGGAAACAAAGTGACATTCACTGGCTCTTGAGGTTTGATGTTTTCCACTTAAAAAAAATTATATTGATTTACAAACAAAATTTGTATACATTGTGTATCATTCATGTGCATTGCATTTTAAACGATCATTCATGAATATTGTGCTTCGTAAAATTAATCACCGTTGATCTATATACTACTATTATGCTGCCTTTTCAGGTCCTTGGCAATCTTGAAGGCATGAGATTTGAATCCACCAGCTTTCCGTGGGAGAAGGAAGGGCAATTTCCTCCGATGTAATTAACTGCCTCTGGAATTAGCTGGCCCGCTGGAGGGTCAGCTGTGTGTCATTTCTGACTCTATGTTACACGACAAGAACCCCACCCACCCCCTCGGCCTCCCCGGACCCCTCTCCTCCTTTTGAACTTTTATCCATATCATATTTTATCGTTGTTGTTGTTGTTGTTATGTGCTGTGGAGTTGCTTGCAATTCATAGTGAACAGATCTGAACCCTGTTCTATTCTTTGCCAAGTTTATTGTCTCTGACACGTCTACCCCCATTACCCCAGTCACTGAATCAATTCATCTTATCAAGGGTCTTCTTTTCTTGCTCTCTTGTGCTGTCCCTTCACCCTTCTAAGCATGATGTCCCTCTCCAAGGACTGTTCACTCCTTGCAACATCCCCAAAGTATGTCAGACAAAGCTTCAGAATCCTTTTTTTTTTTTTCGCTTATCCAGTCAACTCTTTAAACTTTTATTATGACTTGAAGGAAAGTTTTACAAAGTAGATTGATATTCCATTTAACTGTTTATACATAATTCATTTTATAACATTGATTGCAA